ACAACAATTCCACACCACAACTTGGCATGAACTTACCTATCCAAATGAGCTAATCAAGCTCCATAGCTTCCTCCAATGGATGGTCACTCAAAGTTGGTCCACTTGCCTCAATCCTAGCAACACAAGGGACACAATCAATCATCCAATTCCCTAATTGCTCAAAATACTAGAACATTCATAAGCCCAAGCATGAATTCTTGGAAATATCATGGTATGCCCAAATGACTATTTAAACTCATTTCTATGAATTACTCATCATTTCTAACAACTTTTACAAAGTGGTTAAGCTTAAATCAAACTCAAACTCATACCACCCACAAGGACACTATTCATCATCTTCCTCCATCTTACAATCTCTATAAAAACTAAGTTTAAGTAGTGAAAACTTACCACAAATGGTTGCTTAACCAAGGAATGATTGTTCCTAAAGCTCCCAAGGAGTGAAATGCCCCCAATCTCCTCCAATCTTTAACGGCTTCGAACTCTTGTGAGGAAGAAATCTCACCGTAATGCTCTCCACTCAAAATCAAGATAGGATTAAGGATGAGAGGAAGATTCTAAGTGATTTTGACTTTTGAATCACTGAAAATGGTTGAGAATCAAGGGGTTTAGGTTTTCTCACTTTCTCCCTTCCTTTCTTTCTCTCTCGGGCTCGTCCACTAGAAGAAGAAGAAAATGAGACTTCTTTTGTTTGTTTGCACTTAACTTAGTTAAATTTTCTTAAATGGGTGAAAATATATCTATCTATTCATCTTCATTCACAACCAAACCTTACCCTATGGTCTGAAGTATTATTCTAGCAATATTTTTACTTTTATTATTACATTTTGTGTACTTTTGCCTAAACTCATTTTTACCTCTTAATACTCACTGAATGCAATTTTTACTTCAAAAGTGACTATAATTAATTAAATTAAATATTTTTTCTAATTCAACCCACTAATACAAGATTAATTGCGTAATTGCAAGCAATTAATTAAATATCATGGCAAGGGATAATATGATTTTCGCCCCAAAACAATATCATTTTAGATTTAATGCAGATAATTTGTCTGCATTCACTGTTGAAAAAATAAATCCTTAAAAAAACTAATAACTTTGAATGATCTGTAATTTGACCCTAACCCATATGCCTTTGGAGCATTAGGATGTCAGGATCTTTATTATTATGGGGTTTTTAGCCCCACCGACTTTTTTCACCCTAACTCACATGAGTTTTAGCTTAATAAGGTGGACTAATCCATTTTGACAACTTTACTTAGCAATGCTCACCATTAAAAACCATCCTTGTATTTTAAAATAAATAATTATCAATATACTATATTGAGCTATTACTGTTAATAAATTTTTCTAAGGGGTTCATGACAATATTTTGAATTTTGATTCAAATTTTTTTTACAAAGATAAAAAAAAATTAATATGCCTATATAAAATATTTTGAACATGAACTATTATCTTAGCATGGTGGGAACTAAATTATAAGAATGACATCGCTTATTTTTTAAAATAAAATGATTGACGTATTTCATAACACATGTGTTACCTAAAGTAATTTTAATTGTAATAAATCAAACATTGATTCCTTATTAAAGACAAAATTATTTCCTATGATAGGCTATGTTATAGGTCCGACTTGGCTATTTACATTAGTTTTTATTAAATTTTAAATATGTTCATGTATTCCAAAATTAGTGAAGAATAAAAACTATTCCAATATTTTAACATCACAATTAAAAAAGATACCCATGACATAAATTGCAAAGAGACAGATAATAAATGTTTTAATATTTTTATTAATTAGGAAGATTGTTAAGTTATTGTTTCAAAAGATTTTTGCATTTTTCTTGGTCAAAATTTAAAAATAATAATAATTTTGAGCAGTGTAAAAAAATTATATTATCATTCAGTAATATGTTATCGATTGTTTAATGAGTTTGATAATATATATTATGTAAAACTTGTTAAATGATATGAATACATAATATATACTAGATGCATCAAAATTAAAACCAATTAAAAACACTCATCGTAATAATAGCTTAATTGAAGGTTAGCAAAGGAATATGATTTTCTTGTGTTGGAAAACAACTGTAGGAAGGTGCAACTATCATTAAACTGTTTACATTTGTTGAAGGATGAAATAAAGAACAAGAATATATTGATGGAAAAGTGTCGTGAAAGTATAGATTTGCAGGACCTAATTGAACGCCTCAAATGGCTCAAAATCTTTTATACATACAAATTCTAGTTATATCAATGAGGTTCAGATTGTTGATTTTTGCATTTTATAAGGAAAGCGGGTTGTAACTCTCTTAACTGAAAGCTACTTCATGTATCAAAAGAGCATATCTTGTGTCACAATGTTGACTTTTATATATAATTATATTTTTTTTTATTGTGGGGTAAATTAGCCCGTTCTAATGATTTCTCTCCTTTGCAGTTATTGATATTAATTTTATCATTAAAGCTTCATATGGATTACCGAAAGATACTAATTTTGTGTTGTATAGGAGGCTATATTTCTACTCTGAGAAGCAAATATTGTATGCTCCCTTGCTTGGGGTGCTGCAATTGGTTGTAGTTATAGAGTTGAAGCGTGTTTCATTGTGAAGTTATGTGATCTCTTCATTGCGTCCTCATCTACTTTAGACGCTAATCGTATAATTTGTTCAACTATTTCTGCATAAATATACTTCACATACTGTCTATATAACATGTAAACATTCTAACGACGACATTATATTTGGATGGAAAGGCGTATTTGTGCTTGGGAATTATTCTGCACTCTGCACAACTTCACATTGATACATATCTGTGTACAAACATGTTCATTCTCAATTAGACTAAGTAAGTTCACCAAAAAAAAAAAGAGCACCAGCAAACTTCAAACACTTGGATAAAATAAGAGTGAATATTAAATTTTTGAGTTAAATAAATTCCCATAAACTAAGAAAAATAACATAATCAGAAGAATAACAATATATTGAGGTGATTGTTGAAAATAATAACAATTGAAGTTCCATGAATATTAGAGTGATAATTCAAAATAATATAATAAGAACCATAACAATCTATTGCAGAACAAAGTTCCTTAAGAATACTTATCTCTATCCCCTTCCCCCACCAGCTTTTGGTTTAGACATCTCTGTCATACTTTTGGACACACTTCCCTCTTATAAATCTTCTTCCCTTTTCTCTCCTCACATAAATACTTTTTCTTCAAAGATTTCCAATTGCTCTCAAGTTCCATGTTCTCACATTATACTCACCTTGTCTTATACTCATGGTTGCATAGCAACTTGATATGTATAGTGCCTTCCGTAATGACTTGTTTGACGAGGAAGTTTACATGGCCCAACCTCAGCATTTGAAGCCTTAGATAAGTCCTTTGTGTGCAAGCTACAGAAAGCTATTTACGGAATTAAACAGGCTGCTAGGGCATGGTTTGAAAGGCTTAATTCTGCACTACATAGTTTTGGTTTCCTCTTTAGCAAATGTGACATCTCTCTTTTCATTCAACAGCTGATGACCAAGCTTAATTCTGTTTTTGCTCTCAAACAACTGATCTCTCTTGTCTACTTTTTGGGAATTAAAATTAAGCATCTATCTAATGGTTCTTTATTATTTACGCAATGGAAATATATTAGGAACTTAGCCTAAAGGAATGACGCAAAGGGTCTCTTTGCACCTACGGTTAGTGGCTGTAAACTCATTAAATATAGCAATGCCTACATGAACTTCATGTTCCTATTACCACATCTAAGTCTTGCCATTTACTATGACAACTTGAGTATGGTGGCCTTGTCTCACAATCCTGAACTTCACACTCAAACCAAGCACATTGATCTTGACATATTCTTTGTTCAAGAGAAAGTCACCAACAAGAGCTTGATTATTGCTCATGTTCTACCTCAAAAGATCAGATTTCTGATGTCCTAACTCCTCACTAACAACAAACTGTGTGGTAATCTCTTCCAGGTTTTGCAATCTCCCAGAGTTTGAAGGGGGGGGGGGGTTGTAAGAGACATTAAACTACATATGGACATCATGTGGTAACAAGTTGCAAGCATATTTTATAATGTCAGTTAACTACAAAATTCTAAAACCTATTCTCCCCACTCAACATATATCTAACTCAAACTCCCCACACAATCTAAGATCCACATTTAACGTAAACAAAAAAAACAAGTAGGTAGCCTTGCAGTATATCAGCGACACACATAAATTCAGTTCATAGAGTGACACAAAATTTCTTAGAAGGAAGAGAGATCCACAAAATAGTCAATTCGTAGAAAGCAATTGTTCAATTGCAGTTAGCAAATGTTTCCTTATCCGCTATTTTAAAGTACAATAATGACATACATAGTACACAATCTGCCAATAATATCTTCATTAAATGAGTTCATTTAGAAAATGGATTCAAATAAGAAAATTATTAAACTACTTGAAATTAGTTAAGACTAAAAATATTCAAAGAGACAAGATTTGTGATTGTAGTTAGAAACCAATCATAAACTCTGGTTTGCTTCATTTAAACCTTAAAAAATAACACTCAATTCCAAAACACCATACACTCCCTCACTAGTTTCATATTGTGATTACCAAATGTCTAAATGTGATGATTTTTTTGCAAGTCTATGAACGTTGACAGATACTTGTGCCCGAGACAAAAAACGAAAGGATAATATTAATCAATTTCCCCAATGGATAAAATTTCCATAGAAAATGCAATGAGACACCAATATTGAAAAATGTCAAAGTTGACAGAGAACAGTAGAGAATAGATGAAATTATATCAAATATCTACAAAGCTACCATTCCATTAGCATCTAATATCACATCAAATATAAAAAATAGAGCATTAATTCCGTTTCTTGATTTTCTTTTTGGGCTTGGCCCTCCTTATTATCCTAAAAACAAAAAAGCAGTAACTATGACAAAGAATCAAAACACTCTAACCAGGATTCAACAACCTTATTCAATGGTCTGCAACTTCTCTATCAACATTTGGACATATTTTTCTTTCCTTTTCTTTCCTCATGTATCCACTTTTTCTTCAAAGATTTCCAACTGCTCTCAAAATTATCACTAACCCTCATTGCAATCTTGTGAATCTCACTTCTCGAAGGGTACAACAATGCATAAGAGAAAACAAGCCTCATATCATTTGCAAATTCTTCAGTTGCTGTGTACAACCTTTTGTTCAATATGAACTCAATATCCTTCAAACATGTTGGCTTGGATGCAGCCTCAGGGTTATCAAGAAACTCCAAAACCTTAACATGAAGAGGTTGTTTGAAAGCCCAATCATCTCTTCCTACCATCAACCTCTTCAAGATCACCTGACACTGCATCATTTTGTATCTGTCCATGTTATCTGCCCTTGGATTCTTGTCTTTCTTGCACTCTAAAGCTTCATTCTTAGACTCAGAGCCTTCTAACACAGTTCTTGACATTCTTCTTGAGTTTTCTTTGACAAAAGATTTTATTGGTGGGAGTTCTGTTGTTCTACTCATTCCTAGCGTTGGATGAAACTTCAGGAGCCTCCTTTCTCATTTTCTTGCCTAGAGAATCAGCAATCTCCGTTTGTTGGCACTCTTCTTTGACGGTTCTTGATCGTCTCATTTTCTTGCATAGAGAATCATTATTCTCTGTTTGGTTGCACTCTTCTTTGATGGTTCTTGATCATTTTGCACCATCCCTGTAAAGCTTAATCGCAAGTGATTTTCGGGGTTCAGCCATTGAAGAGGGTTTGAGAGGAAAAAATTAGAAAATAAAACAATAGGTATTGGTAGTTTATAGTTTTGTTGTGGAGGATGTCTTTTATGGTTTTGGTCGAGGTGTCTTGTAATATTAACAAACAAGTAACAAAGAAAAACAATTCCCAAATTTATGTTTCTAAACTTTTCAATGTAATTTTTATGTTTCTTAATTTTTTTATAATTTAACTAATTTTTCAATTAGATGTTTGTTAATTAAAAAAATAAATATAAATGTACCCAAAAAAAACTTAAATATAAGCTTTTAAAATCTCTAAATCAATCTACATCTCTTCATAGTTATAAACATCACTTTACATTTTTTAAAATGTTAAAGTGTAAACTACCAAAAATAAAAAAAATGTTACAAGTGTAAAAATGTAGTAAAAAAAACTATGCAAACTTATTTAAAATTTCAGTATTAGTTGATTTGGAGCAACAAAATAATTGAGAGGGCTATAAAAAAATCTTGTTGAACTAATTTGTACTGAAAAAATTAAACTGTTAAAATTTTTACATATTCTGAAAATATTACAGATTAATAAAAATCTCCATGGTAAGTATTAATGAATAATAAATATCATTTTTCAAGAAAATAATAAAAAGCGAGGAGTTCTATTTTTTTTTATATAAAACTAACTGTTCAAGTATAATTGGAAAAATGATTTAAATTTTGCTTATATTTCACTTGTATATTTGTGTGCAAATATCATTTCATTAAAAAATTAAATTATGAAAAATGTATATTTTATTTAGAATATTTTAAGAAAATATTAAATATTTATTTATTAAAATAAATTTCAACGCTTTGATTCCATTAAAAGAAATGAACTTTTTTTTTAAAATTATAGCTTTTGATTATCCGTGGGTGACCCTATCCTATAAAACTTTGGAGCTTTAGGCCGTGCAGTATCTTTATTATTACGGGGTTTTTAGCCCCAGTGACTTTTTTCACCTCAACTCACATTGGCTCAAGCTTAATAAGATAAACTACTCCATTTTGACAACTTTAGATCTCACCATTAAAACCATCCTTGTATTTTAAAATAAATAATTATCCATACATATATTGGGCTATTACTGTTATAAACTTTTCTAAGGGTTCATGACAATATTTCGAATTTTAATTCACTTTTATTTTTTTACAATTTAAAAAAAAAAAAAAACTAAATATGTCTATATAAATTATTTTGAGCGTGATCTATTATCTTAACATAGCAGGGACTAAAGTATAGGAATCACCTCTTATTTTTTAATATAAAATGATCGACCTATTTTAAAACAACTATATCTCCATACAAGTTTTTTGTGTCATATCTTGTCGTAAATAAATTATTTATGTCATATCGTGTTGTGTGACCTACATAAAAAGTAACATAATTTGGAGTTAAACATATTATTCATGTCGTGTCAACCCACATAATAAGCGATATATTATGAGTTTACGAGTTATTTGTATCGCGTCGTGTTAACTCATAAAATATGTAAGTCGTGTTCAAGTCAAATATTTCAAACCGATTTCAAATTTGTGTAGTATTTGTGTTGAACGTATTCAGATTCGGGTCAAAATTGTGTCGTGTTGAGTTGTCCCAAATTGTGACTCCTAATTTTTATATCTATAGTTTTCTTCTTTATAGTGGAGGAAATTAACAAGTTTTATTAATTGGTTTCTCTCCGTGGCAGTTAGTGATATATTTTTACCATTGTGAAGGTAGTGACGAAAGCCATGCAATGTCCTTTATCCTTGGAAACTTTGGCCCCCTGAAGTTATGTGATCTTGTCAATGTAACCTCATCTGCTTTAGGTGCTAATCATATGATTTAGTCATGTGTAATAATAGTTTTGTCTTACCAAATAATCAATAATTAAGCTCAACATGGCAAGCAAAAAGGTCTTTGATTCTATAGTAGTGACGTTTCGCTAAATTCAAGTGTAATACTAAATTTTTGTCTTTTCAAATACGGCGTACAGAAAACAATCGAAGAAATTTTTCGACGCCGGATCTGGATCCTCTAATGTGAAAAATCACATGACCATATCATGTGGGAAATTATAACCATACAAAGGTAGATCAATGATAATAAAGGATGAGAGAGAAAATATATTAAAATAGGTAGTTACAAAATCATAACCGTTAATTTACCTTTGTATGGTTGTGATCTTCTCACATGATCATGTCATTTTTTTTCACATTAGAAGATCTATTTACATATGTATTATAGAGTGTGTGTTAGAGAGAGAAAGAGGCAGATATCCATGGAGAAGTTAGGCGAAATTTAAAATTTTGAGATACGGTTGTTACCAAAAAAAATGTTGAGATTAGGAGTCTTGCTCTGAAATATTGTCGCAGCTAATACATATGTGCGATAAGAACTACTTAGAACAATAAAAACCAAAGCTTTAAAACAAAACACTTCTAAAAAACAAAGTGTGCTAAGCAACTTTAATTTTTTTTTTTTTAAATCTAAATGATAAGAAAAATTTGAATCCTGAATAGCTTCTTATCTTTATTATGTTCAATTAAAAACAATAGTAATTTTTTTTATAATTTTATCCCTATTTTCCTTTTTACAATAGAATAATATATTAAGATAGAATAATATATCTTCAGTTTTTTTTAATCTACTCCCAACTTGCTCCTAAGCAACCAAAAAAGGAGTACAAGAATTTGCTTCATCTGCTACATCATTACCCATTGAAATTGATTTTAAGTTATTTATGGGTTTATTGGGTTATCCAATCTACTCAATTCAACAATGATAATGCTTAGAACAGTAGTAACTTTTATCTTCTCCACATACTAAGACATAATCTTCGCCTCAGACCCTTTAAGCCATCTCAATATTTGCCAATTAGTCTCAACTAGGATATCTTCGCCTCTGCTTTTTGGCTTTGTTTTCGGGCTTGGCCATCCTTATTAACCCAAAAGAAGAAGAAAAAAATCAGTAACTATGACAAGAAATCACGTCATCTAATGATTGATCCCTGTGATAGAAATCATGTCTGAATCCATAACATATTTACACCAACCAATATTAAAACACTAAACTTTTACGGACCTACATTTAAAAAAATAAATCAAAATCAAAAGTAACAAAATCTATAACCTAGTAATTCAAGAATTAAGTTTGTACAAAATCACACTCTAACCAGGATTCAACAACCTTGATTCAAAGGTATGCAGCTTCTCTATCATCATTTGGACATACTTTTCTTTTCTCATGTATCCACTTTTTCTTCAAAGATTTTCAACCACTCTCAAAAAATCCTGTGAATCTCACTCCTCGAAGGGTATAGCAACACATAAGAGAATACAAGTCTCATATCATCTACAAATTCTTCATGTGCTGAGTACAAACATTTGTTCAATTCGTACTCAATATTCTTCAAATCTATTGGCTCGAATATAGCCTCAGGGTTATCAAGAAACTCTAAGACCTTGACATCAATTTGTTTGAAAGTCCAATCATCTCTTCCTACCATCAACCTCTTCAAGATCATCCAACACTGCATCTTTTTGTACTTGTCCATGTTCTCTTTCCTTGGTATCTTCTCTTTTTTACACTCTGCACCTTCTTTCTTCAACTCACAGCTTTTGGATGCAGTTCTTGACATTCTTCTGGACTATTCTTTGAGAAAATATTTCGTTGGTGGGTGTTCAGTTATTCTACTCATTCTCAGTGTTGGAGAAACTTCAAGAGCCTCCTTTCTCATTTTCTTGCATAGAGAATCAGCAATCTCCTTTTGTTGGCACTCTTCTTTGACGGTTCTTGAACATTTTGCACCATCCCTGTAAAGCTCAATCACAAGTGATTTTCGGGGTTCAGCCATTGAAGAGAACTTGAGAGGAAAAAAGTAGAAAATAAAAAAAATCAGTATTGGTCGTCTATAAGTTGTTGAGGGTGTCTTTTATGGTATTGGTCGAGGTGTCTTGTTATCTTATTATGAATAAACAAGTAACAAAGAAACAGGAATTCCCAAATTTAGGTTTCTAAACTTTTCAATATAATTTTTATGTATCTTAATTTTTATATAATTTAACTAATTTTTCAATTAGATGTTTGTTAATTAAAAAAATTAAATCTAAGCTTTTCAAATTTCTACATCACTTCGATAGTTATAAACATCACTTTAATTTTTTAAAAATGTTAAAAGTGTAAAAATGTAGTTAAAAAATTTATGGAAACTTATTTAAAATTTATGTATTAGTTGATTTGTGGCAACAAAATAATTGATAGGGCTATAAAAAAATCTTTTTTAACTAATTTTTACTAAAAACATTAAACCGTTAAAATTTTCACATATATTGAAAATATTACTGATTAATAAAAATCTCCATGGTAAGTATAATGAATAATAAATATCATTATTCAAGAAAATAATAAAATGCGAGGAGTTCTATGTTTTTTAAATAAAACCAACTGGATGTTTACAGAAAAAAATAAAAAATAAAACCAAATGGTCAAGGTTATTGGAAAAATGGTTAAAATTTTGCTTACATTTCACTTGTATATTTGCACGCAAATATTATTTCATTAAAATAGTAATATTTTGTATAGAATATTTTAAAAAAATGTTAAATATTTATTTATTAAAATAATTTTGAAGGCATACCAAAAAATAATAATTTTGAAGGCATTAAATCCATTAAAATTAAGGTTTTGTTTGACGTCGTTTGATTCTTGGAAGTGACTCCATTTCGATGGTCGCTTTGCTAACTAGACGGGGTGATGCAGCTCATGAGTCACGCCTACTAACTCAGATACGAGCACTCTTGGATCAAGACTGGCAAATTGTGATAGTTCATGCTTTTCGCGAGGCCAACTTTTGCCCTGCCTTTATTGCTACTCTTCCCCTCATTAATCTATCAACATCGTATGCATCTTATTTTACGTCTCCTCCACGTTCTTTGCAGCTTCTTCATCAGGCAGATACTGCAGGTGTTTTTTTTCTATCCCAAAGGAAGACTGGACTAGCCTTTGATTTTTTTATTTAGTATCTCTTTTAATCCAGTCTTTATTTTTATTTTTTCTTGTCTTCTTCTTTGCATGCATAAAAAAAAGAACTTTTTTTAAAATTATAACTTTGAATGATATGCGAGTTGACCGTAACCCATAGGCCTTTGGAGCTTTTAGGCCTATCAGGATCTTTATTATTATGGGTTTTTAGCTCCACGTGCTTTTTTCATCCTAACTAACATGGGCTCAAGCTTAATAAGGTGGACTAAACAATTTTGACAACTCTACTTAACAATGTTCACCATTAAAACCATCCTAGTATTTTAAAATAAATAATTATCAATACAATATATTGGGCTATTATTGTTAATAAATTTTTCTATGGGGTTCATGACAATATTTTGAATTTTGATTCAATTTTTTTTACAAAGATAAAAAAATTTAAATATGCATATTTGAAATATTTTGAGCCTGATCTATTATCTTAGCAATTGTTCCGTAATTTCAATCATCCATGGGGCAATTGGTCAGAGATTCCTGGGCCTAGTCGCACTGCTTGGTTGAATGATTTCATTGTAAGTTATATCCATTTTATGGTTATTAATCGGTTCTCATCAAAATACATACAAACTAATCACTTGTATCAATTTGTGCACTAATTGTTCATGGCAATTTTCAAGGCAAGTGTAGGTGGTTGCCCAAGCATTGCCAGGATTTGGCGACAACTTATAACTACAAAGGAGGCATGTTGTCAGATCGATTTTATAAATTGAGACATGAAATGGGCAAGGCAAATTGGATTAATCCTATTACTGCGGCACAATTACTGGCAAACTGGGAAGCCGAATCAAAATTTCAGCAGAGGTCCGCTCCAAATAAGCAAAATAGGTCCCGAATGGATGGACACTCAAATATTGGAGGCTCCATTCCATATTGTTTTCTATTTCGGTATTCAATATTTTATACTTGCAACTAATTAATTAATGGTCCTCATTTTTGTTTGCAGGAAGCTTTTGGGGAGGTGCTTCCATAAAAGTTTGATTGGGCTACCTTTCAGCGGACCCATTCCCAAAAGTTGGAAGTAATGCCAGCTCCCAGCAAACAGCAGTGAGACATTTATTATTCATTATTTGTTTCAACAAGCAAGATGTTTATTTCATTTTACATGTCCACATTGGTGGTGTTTTTTTGTTGTTGCTTGCAAGACAACTATCGCAAGTTTGAAGAGGAGAGGGTCACACAGGCTGCGACAGACCCCACATCTGGCTCCTCTCAGTCTAATAACAAGCACCTCTTCATTAAGGCTACATGAGGATTTGACAAGAAAGGAAGAACATTCGGGCTGGGAGGATTTGCCAGCCGACTGAAACTTAGCAAGCGTTCATCCAGCCAGGTTGGAGGTGTTTCTACATGTAAACATAATGCCCACACTTAATTATTTTACATTTTAACTCCCTAGTACATTTAAATTAAGTACAAAAAAATTAGCTTACTTTGTAATGATGTATTTGCAGATGAGCTTAAAAGGATGAAGGCGTTGGTTAAGAGAGTAGAAAGTGTACATCAGGCGAAGACTTCCGAGCTTGAGGTGCATACAAATGCTATGATGCTACGACACATACTATGAATCTACAAGCAGAGAAGATGCTTAGGCGAATGCAGAAAAAGCTCCAGTTCCTAATGAAGGAGAGGGAGGACAACAACAAAGATAAGAGACCGGTTTTGGGTGATGATGATGATGTTTAGGCTGCTACTTTACAGGAAAATATCTATCAATCAAGCAAGCACTGAATCTAGACACACACACCCATCACTGGAATAATTAATTTCACTCATCACTCAAGTGTTTGAAGGGTAAGTGTTTCACTAAAACCTTCACTGAATCAATACTATCATAAGCTTGGTTATATTCTCACTCTCCACAGTTAAGTAACATGCACAGAAGATTAAGAGGTCTTTATTCAGGTTGTAATGGGGCTTGGCTAAAGGAAGGATGAATAAGGAGTAATATGGCTAAAGGATTGAAACACAAAATGATCATGGTATAATTGTAAACACAATTTAGTTTACAACCCTATTCTCTTTTTCTTCTTTTTTCTTTTTTCAACATTTTTTTATTTTTCTTTATTTTTCCTTTTCAACCCTAATATTTTTCATTTTCATTTTTCTTTTCTCTTATTGTGATGTAATCAGTTTGCCTAAACTTTGTTGCATGATTATCCTTTTAGTTGTCTAATAAAGTGTTTACATTGTTTCTAATCTTTTTTATTCATCGAGAGAGAGAGTTGCAAGATACTTAATGTTTGGGATATAGAGATATAGGTGAATCCTGAAAGTTATTAAACATTGTGGTTTAACTAAGTAAAATTGGTTAATTGTGGGTAGAGAGATCATTCACATCACAAAATCATATGGAACCTGAACTTAATGATTCATAACTATGTTGGCCATAGAGATATGGGAACTAGTATACATGTATTGTTGGTGTGAGCCCTTGCATACATTAGTGTTCTGATTACTGAATGGATGATTGTTGTAGCATTGTGACTGCTTCTGGTGAAACTGCAATAACGGGGAAATTGATCTCAATCTACCTTTCAATACTTGCAAACTTATATTGTTACTGCCTTTTCTTAGTTAATCATTAGTCTTAGCTTATTTTATTTCTTAATTCCTAAATTAGTCATTAGTTAATCAAAAGTCATTATTGTTACTTTATTTACTTCACTCAGAGTCGTAGCTTTACCTAATCTCTGTGGGATCGATAATTCGACTCACACATCCACTTTATTACTTGTTGATACGCGCACTTGCGTACTTGTGTGATTGATATAATTGATTGCGAAATTGCACAAGTTTTTGGCCGTTGCCGGGAATTTTTTTAAAGCTATTATCTTTTTGTGAAGTAATATTTAATCCATTCTTCTTTTTGTCCTTTTCAGGTATTCCAGCTAGTTTATTAACAACCCTCCTAACAAGCCAGAAGTTGAATTTGATCCAGAGATTGAAAGAACTTTTCTAGCAAGAAGAAAGAGGCAGAGACAGAACAAAGTTATAGCAATACCCAGAACAGCAGACATGGAAGCAGAAGGATCTGTTAATGGGGATGAACTCAATAGAGCAGAAATGCCTATTAGAGCCCATGGAGTCCCCACACTCAACAACCTCCACTCGGGGATTGTACAACCTGATGTTGCAACAGCAAATTTTCAGCTGAAACCAGTTATGTTCAGCATGCTGCAAACAATTGGCTAGTTCAATGGAATGCCAAGTGAAGACCCGCATCTACACTTGAAGAACTTCATGGACGTGGCAGATAGCTTCAAGATACAATGAGTTACATCTGATGCAGTAAAGCTGAAGTTATTCCCTTACTCCTTAGCCAACAGGGCTAAGACTTGGTTGAGCACTTTTGCCCCTAATTCAATTAGAAGATGGAATGATTTGGCTGAAAAATTCTTAGTCAAATTCTTTCCTCCAGTAAAGGCAGCTCGACTAAGGAATGGGATCACATCTTTCCAGCAAAAGAAGGAGAATCATTATATGAAAGCTGGTGGACCAGGATTTGTACTGCCATGTGGCCTTCCCTGGTGGACCCCATTGCTGACCAAGTCATCTCCACCATCCTCGGTGGCCACCGTTCCATTTTCTCCGACACTTTCCCTTCCCTTGTGTTGTCTATTTTTGATTTGACGACAATTTTAGTAAAATCGGTCAGTTAACTTTCATTCACACAGTTCTTTTGCATTTTTGATCTATTACTCTACCTGAACCGGTCACATGATTGATTTACTGATTTTCATTTCGAACCGGCCAATCCGGTCTGATTTTTATAACACTGTGTCAAATTATATAGTGTCATATGATTTTTAAATTGTCTCTAGGACACTTAACAAAGATGTGTTCCATTACGTGAGCTATGCATGAAGCGAAGAATCCTCTACTTTGAAGTCCAAAATCCAAATGCACTGGGCCAGTAAAGGTCGGTCCATAACAACAACCTTATCTACAAAAATAAAAATAAAACCACAACCTTCGAATTGTGCCAAAAAGAGGCGGGAGCATTGTGATTCTTCTATTTTATACTTCAAATTAAAGTTGCTTTGATGTTTCATTATAACCCTTTGATACACTCAGTCACCACTTTTATGCTCAGTTTGATTTTCTGCCCCTTGCGCAAATGATTTTTATGGGAATGGAGCGTTTTGTTTGAACATCACAATTTCGTACAAAGAATTTCAACTTATTCATAGACTGGTTAGTAATTATAATATTTTTTTTCATTTTACCAATTTCATTAACATATCATCTTAAAACAAAACATGTGATTAATATTTTTTGTAATGTATGAGATAATTGTATCTTTTATATATATATATATATATATATATATATATATATTTATATATATATATATTTATATATATATATATAAAAGTGTATGAGATTCAATTTTTTTTCTCTTTTCTCTTCACATAAATTCATATGAATCTCATATTTTTTTTTGTATGTATTGAAAATAAAATTATTTCTTATAATATGTGAAATATTAATTTATATATAATTGATTGATTAAAGAGAAATATAAATATTATGTTGTTGGAGAATAAAATTTTTCTATACATCCATTGTTAACCTGTCTGTCTTTTTTTTTATTATTATTACGAGGCTCACACGAATCTGTGAGTGAAGGAGGCAAAACTTTTCTCCTCGCCCCGTGAATAAAATATGAATTGATTGTACTAAAAAAAAGTAAAGAATAGAAAATGAATTGATTGAATAAAATGAAGGGATTTGTTAGAGAGGTCCCCCACGATTGACTCATCCATGGCCCTCACGAGTATAGACGTGACAGCAACAATTCCTCGGTCCTCGCCGATCTTGATACGACATCGTTTTCTCTGTTCCCCATTTTCCCTGGTGCACGTTAGACGACACCTGTCCTCCTCCTCTGCCGGCACATTGTTTTTTCCTACGTCCTGTATTAAGTAACACACAGAAAAAGCTACCTTAAAAAAAATAAAAATGGCTCAAATCCCATAGACATAGAGAGAGAAAGAGAGAACTTTGAAATCCTCTCAAAGCTGCAGAATTTGGATGAGAGAACCCGGTATCTGGCTCAGTGAGTCATGGATCAGCTGCTAAAAGTAAAAGGGTGTCGCCTCCTGCTTTTGATTTAGCTCTTTCTCTCTCTCTTCCCACCTTCATCAGTTTCAGTGTTTCAGGTGAATTGAGCTTCAGCTTTCCATTCCCTGGATCTGCACTCTTTTCCTGTTTAATTGGGTTCCTTTTTCTTCCCAAAAGTTTCAATCTTTTGTGCGGCATTTGGATAATTGACTTGTTTCACATACTTGGACTTGGACTTGGTCATTGTTCTGTTTCATGAAATTGGCATGTTCTGGGTTTTAATGGTCATTAGTTTGTTCTTAGGCAACCGGGTTTATTGGGTGTTTATGTCAAACTACTAGTTGTTGTCAAAAGTAAGGGGCAGTAGGGTTTGTCAGGTGTCAACATCCTTTGTTAATGTTATTATTATTCATATGTGGTAAGATCTGTCGCTTTTAGGATTGATTTTACCTGATGTTACAAGCAATGGTTCGTCTATGGTATGCAATTACTTGTACATGAGTTGAAAAGACATTTTTGCCATGCTTTGTATAGACACAGTTTCTATGGATTTCTTTTTGAATCTGCTAGTGATTAACAATTTGTGGACAGAGGGCAGTGTCTTTTGGTCTTTGCTTGCTTCCATATGCAAACATTCATGGCCATTGTTTTGGTGCTTTGGAGTTTGGAATTTTCTGAGATTTGCCTTGTGGGAGGTTTATTTTTAATTTGGGATATGTAGAATTTGAGGCAAATTTAAGGATTTTGTGTTTGACCCTTGTGTTCCTGATCATCTTTTGTCATAATGATGCTTCAAAGCAGTCAAGGTCTTGTGTTTGGGTATTGATATACAAAGGTAGGTGTGTGAGGAACTATGACAGCTTTGCAGCATAGGCTTTCACATTGAGGATGAGAAAATATAGGGTTGGACTACTTTCATCTATTTCTTTTTTCGTATTTTGTTCCTCCTTATGAATGATGCTATTATATTATTGCATAGAATTATTCCACCAGGACTTGTTTATAGTGTATAGTTTTAATTGACATCTGGAACAATTTGCTTTTGGATTTTATTAGGTTTTTCATTCACAGAAACAGTCAAGTTTTTTAACATAAGTCCCAAAGGAGGTTTGCCGATGGTTTAGGTTGGAATGGAGAAGATAAAGTCCATCTGGGTCTTAGTATGGTGTTGAAAGAACCTTACTAGGCTGGCCTAGTGTGTTTTGATTTGAAACTGATGCCTAATTTCCTATACACCAAATTTGGCTTCGCAATATTGGAGCTATTCATCACTTGGCCACTCCTATTTTGACTTCAATGCTAGGCCCAAGTGTGATAGCTTTCCTATTCCAGGATGCTTGAGAGTCCTGGGTCCTCGCTTCCCCGTCTTCTCCAATCAATAACTGCCTCCTAACTAACTCCCTGTATCTGTTTTTATTACAAGTGTCAACTATTCGCTGTCTGATAGGCAGTTGTTATTGTTACTAACAGACTTGGGACTCTTATTCTTCATAACATAGACCCTTTTAATTGGAGGCATGCTAACACACCAATCACAACCAATATAGACTATGAAGGTCTCAAGAAGACCTGGTACTGTGACAAAATTGAATTTGTTATAACTTGTAAATAGTTTTTATCAGTTAAGCATGCTCTCGTATTGATCCTTTGCTACTTGCTTCATCATTCCAGTACCTCATACTTCAATGCAGTTCACCTTTTGGCTAATTAATGTTGTGTATAATAATTAAATGCTTTTGCACTGACTTGGCCGGAAAATTCCTTTGCCAGGTTTGTGCTAGATTGAGATAAAGTGAATGACATTATGGGTGTCTCGGGGAAGTGGATTAAATCATTGGTTGGTCTAAAGAAATCAGAGAAGCCCGAGTCTTCAGAGAAGGATAGAAATGTGAGTATAGCTCTCTCTCTCTCTCTCTCTCTCCCCCTCTCTCTCTCTCCCCCTCTCTCTGTCTATGTCTAGTCTCTTCTGTTTCTTTTGTACTTTTATTCCTGACTTTTAGTACCTTTTCATTTTCTGGTGGCAAGCATAATTATCACATTGATGCTTTTGGCTTAAGTTGTGTGCTATCATTTAGTTATTTCTCATGTCCTGTCTTCACCTCCATCCAAAAAAAGAACATAAGAAAACGAAAGAAAAAGCAGTAAGTTTGCTTGCTTGGGTTTCAATTCAAGTGGGGACAAAGTTCAGCTTATGTGTTTATAAGTATATAATAAAGTCATTTGAAATGTCAGAAATATGTTTTACCTCGAGTGCATAGTGTTTTATTTCTTATTTAAGTTTTGTCATTCTTTTCATGGCCTCTTTTCCTGAAACATGGACAAAATGTGTTTGTTGAATTTTAAGTACATTTTATCCTTCAAATCTTTGCATATTAAGGCTAAAAAAGAGATTATAAAAAGATTTGTATGTCAATTAAGGACCTGAAACTTTGTTCTATCCTTGTTAAATTCTCACTGTGAAGCTTAAAGCACCTTCAGAATGTAGTGTTATGGAAACTGTTACCCCTTATCTAGCATTACCATTGTACTGAATACATGCACGTTAGTTTTCTGATCTTGTTCTGTCCTGTTATGCCATTTTATAGAAACTCATATATATATATATATGTGTGTGTGTGTGTGTGCTTGTGTGTTTGTGTGTTCTAAGTATTAATCTGAGAGTACATATTTAGTATATTGGTATCTCTCTGTGCACAAGGCTCTGATGTCAATGCTGCAAAACAGATAAGTAAGACATTCAAAGTAATTGTAAGGTTCTGCTTTCATTACTCATTGTAGTTTGTCGTAATCATTTTATTTACCGTTGTTAACTCCCGTAGTAAATTTGTGGTATGTACCCTGGTTGACAAATAATCATTTCTGTCGTTAACAGCAGAACTTTCTCCTTTTTCACCTCTATGGATAATGGAAGAGTTTTGAGAATGATTTACAATATTTGACATTAATTTCTGATTTAGCTTCCACTTTCCATATTGTTAAACTATTATTTTCTAAGTTAATATGATTGTATTTGTTTTTAATTGATCATTTTCAAAACTCCCCTTCTAGGCTTCTTGCCGCTGTTGTATAAGGCATTGCTTGATGAACTTCTTCCTTCTGGCTACTATATAACGTGTTCCATATCATTAAATTTTTTTTTTTTTTAATTTAAACTTTGAACTTTTTCAATGATCAGAAAGTAGGCAAGTTTCGGCATCGGAGAAAGCATTTGATCGAAATTGACAATAGTAAACTTCAAAATGAGTTTGATGATGACGTTACTCCACCTATTGGAGAAGCAGATCCTCGTTCAAACCTTGATGCCCATTATTCTCCTTCTACTTCACAACAAACACAGGATGCTGCACATAATCATCAAATTATGAGGGAAGAAAGGGCTGCAACATGCATTCAAACAGCATTTCGAGGATTTCTGGTAATTTTTCACATCAGTTTTGTTTAATTACCTGAACTAAAATTGTTTACATATTTTTCTCCTATTTCCATGGGATTGGAGGGTGATATTGATTTAATAACATTTTCTCATTTTTTTCTCTTTATACTTCAAGAGGATATTTATTTGCTTTTCTTTGTATCACTTTTATCCCTGAAAAATAGCTTTTACTCCGAAAACTCAGGTACTAAGTGTTAGACTGAAGTGATTATATCTACTTCTAGGATGTTTTTTCTGTAATCATAAATTCATAATTTAATTTGCTTCATCTTGAAGTGCTCTTCATATCGATATGAAACTTCTCTCTTTCTTTGTTGAGATATATAGTCCCACATTGGTTGTATGTGCAACTAATGTGGAGTTTATAAGGTCTTGGGCACTCCCACCCTTTGAGCTAGCTTTTGGGGTGGTGTATCCCAAGGTTCTTTACATTCTTTTATTCCCCCCATACACCCAATTTACTCCTTTTCTATTCTGAAACCTATTCTAATCAGTTTAGTAGCTTTATTGCCAACAACTTTGACCAAGCTGGAAACTTTTGTTCTGTGTACCAGGCCAGAAGAGCACTTCGAGCTTTGAAAGGATTGGTAAGACTTCAGGCCCTTGTAAGAGGCCATGCAGTAAGAAAACAAGCTGCGATAACTCTCCGTTGTATGCAAGCTTTGGTGAGGGTTCAGGCCCGTGTTCGGGCAAGGCGTGTTCGCTTGGCACTGGAAAGTGAAACAGAACAACAGAATCTGCAGCAACAGCTTGCAAATGAAGCTCGTGTTCGAGAAATTGAAGTAAGCAGTACTATTCCCAAAGTGATATTGCTTTTGTTAGTATGGAATATCTCAATCTCTTACATTATTCTTTTCCTTGCTTTGTTATCTATTTCCCAGCGGTTAGAGTATAGAAAAATTGAGCTTCATGAATTTGAGATAGTTGTTTGATCGGTAAGATAAGGAAGTAGGATCTACCTTTTTCTTTCTTGCTTGTGACCACTTGAGTCATGTTGCAATAATGTATAACTTTACACAATTTAGAGGTTTTTAGATATAATGTTTGTTTGCATTTTCTGGTCGTTCCTGTATTCTGTTTTAGTTTTTTTATCATTTTTTTAATTTCCCATGACTAGTTGCTGTCCGGATTTCTTATCTATCAATGAGTCTATTGATAATTATCAGAAACCAAGTGTTTACTAAAGCAAGATACTAAACTATGTTGAATGAAACTATAAATATATAACAATTAACTGCAGTGTGCCAGTTTGAACTGAGACATGCCTAATAGGAACATCTGGATGAGAAACATAACTTGGACACAGCAGACAAATGGAAATTGCAGAAAATTTGCAGTGGACTCTGGATTGTATTTTGAGATACCTACCAAGAGAGCGAGATTTTGGGAGCTAGTGAATCAAGAGAACGTGTCAAGCTAACTAATGGAGATAAAACCAGCAAGAACAGAAATTGCTGGATGAGGGCTGCTCTTCTCCAATATGCAAGAAGATTGAACTGTTAAAGAATGATACCCATTCTAGTGATATATATGTATGAAGTCCCAGTACATCTGAGGGGAGTGTAATAGTTTCCTTGCATCTTGACTAAATCTAGACAAAATTTGAAAAGAAAGAATGGAAGGAAGGAAGAAAAATGAAAAAAATAAAAATCACTCACGTCCAAAACTAACAAACCAAAACAAAGTTTTATGCCATTGATTGATTTTAGATACAACTAAACTTTTTTGTTTGATCTAGTTTTGTATGAATCCTATTTGTGCTCAAATGTTTTACTGAAGGTGGTAATTTTGTGAAGAAATGCATCTGAAAAATGCTATAAATTAGTGCTTGGAGTGGTATACATTGCAGTTTTGTTTTCAAATATACTTTCAAGGAACCTATTAACGTTATAATAGTATGCAGCAACTTAGGTTGTGTTTTTCTCTCACTTATGTTTTTCTCATACTTGTTTGATACAGGAAGGTTGGTGTGACAGTGTGGGATCTGTTGAAGAAATTCAAGCCAAAATATTAAAGAGACAGGAGGCTGCAGCCAAACGTGAGAGAGCCATGGCATATGCTCTGGCTCATCAGGTATAAATTTACAAGAGCCTCTTGTTGAATGATGAGGATGGGCATTATACAATGATTAATCTTTCTGTAACTTGCATACTAAGAAATAATCTGAATACGATAGAATGATTAATCTTTCTCATCAATTCCTTGATTGCTAATATCCAACGTGAGACATAAGTAATTGCATGTTGTGCTATTTGAATATCAATCTATAGGTTCAAAACATCAAATAGGACGTGGGTGGTTAATTTAGATCTCAAGTTTCTTTATTTTGGTCCTTCCTCAACACAAGCTTGTTTATATAATTGCAGAAGAGAATGCTAATTGGAAATCATAGTAGTTAATTGCGCCGCAATAGCGCCGCGAGCCGCGCCGTATGGCGTTGCGGTGCCTCGCCACAAGAAACCGCTCCGCGCTGCACCGGAACGCAATAGTGGCCATTGCCATTGCATTTGCGGCCATATTGTTGTCATAAGGCAAACTGTTAATTTTGTCCTAAATTTAAATGTGTAACAGAAAAAATTTAAGGGTTTTTTAGTCTATCCATGTCTCTCTCTGTCACTTCTGCTATCTCTGTCTTTAAAAAATGTTTCTTTTTGTCATTATTTCTATCATATAGCTATTCCGCTATTTTCGCAACCACGACTCGCTATAACGCTATCGCGTTTTTCGGGGTTGGCCGCGACATGCCGCAATCCGCATTTGATAACTATGTTGGAAATACAGACCAAAATTTTCCCATAGAAATACAAAAGGCAAAAAACCGTTGTAAACACTATTAAAGCAATCTAGGTGGTTTTATTGGTTGTAATTAGTTATGATAATAGAATAAGATAATAAAGTTACTTGATAATGTTACTCATATGTATACCACTGAATTTTGTCCAAAAATTTCCTCATCACTTGATGGTGAACTTTGCTTACACAATATCCAGTATCATGATTCACTGATATCTATTTCAGAATCAATCTTTTGCAGTTGGATATCTTAGCTATGCATACTATCATAGGAAGCTCATGTTTATCGAGTCAAAGAATATAGAAACAACAACATTGGTCCCTCGTGCAAATTCTTGTCAAATTACATAAGAAATGAACTTCAGATGCATCTTTCACTGCCAATAATTCTGGACACATCTATTTTAATCAAGAATGACACAATAGGATCATATTTATTAGGAAAAGTGTGAAATCGGGTGCAGCATCTCTGGGGTAGAGCTATGATGCCCGTGATTTCTTATGGATGGACATATGTATTAATTTCCCAATGTGTTATAGTACATGATAAATAAGACAAGATCTTTTTCAAAATTATTTCTTTTGTAATAATAACTATGAATGGTGCTTACAAAAGAAACTGGATGTTACAAGATGACATTTTGTCAAATTGAACTTTAATATCATTGTCCTTGTCAGTCGTTATCCTCCTATTTTCTTTGTATATGTTCTTTCCTTTGGTTCATCTTTTCAGACAAGAAGCATGGATGTAAAGAAAATCTTCTTTCTCTTTTTACCCTTTGTAGTGGCAAGCAGGATCAAGGCAACAAGCTCTTTCCTCTGAGTTTGAACCTGATAAAAGTAGTTGGGGTTGGAATTGGTTGGAAAGATGGATGGCTGTACGTCCATGGGAGAATCGCTTTCTTAACATTAATACCCGAGATGGAGTAATGGTAGACGAAAATGGAGTAATGGTAGACGAAAATGGTATCAAACCTCAGTTAAGATCTGCTAACACAAAATCAGTTCCATCCAAGATTCATCCAAACCTTGCCTCTCAGAAAACTGGTCCCTCTCTTTCTGATGGCTGTGATTCTTCTTCACCTAGTAAGTCAGCAGGTTTGCTAGAGTCATCAAACACACAGTCTGTTAAACCAAAGTCTAATGCAAATGTTCAAAATCCCATTGAAGAAGGCAACTCAAGATCTGAAACTGGAAGATCTCACAGTAATCCAAAGGAGAGAACCACACAGGTAGATAAACAGGCAAAAAAGCGATTATCTCTGCCTAACAATGGTGAGTATGTTCTTTTCTGTGCATTTTCTTTATGTAATTAGATTATCACCTCCCCATGTTGCATAACACCATTCAAATTCGCTTAATACAGAACTTGATCACTGATGTTTCGTAAGCACTTTAGTAAATCAATATTTCAATTTTGATTAGATAGTTCATGTAAATATCCTCCGGTAAGAATAAATCACTCCCCATTAAACCCGGACTAGTGAAGATCGGGTGAGGGCAATCCTTATATACAGCCTTACTCTTGCATATATGCAAAAGACTATTTTCCGAATTTAAACCGTGAGTCACAAAGGAGTAGCTTTACAACTACTCTGGGCTCTCCTTCTGGTAAGAATAATATCATAAATTATAGAGTTTTTTATTTTTGAAATACTTGTGTAGGTAAGGTAGGGTGATAAGCAATGTGATATTGTCAAATCCTGTTGAATGATTGTGTTAGATTAACGGAATCAGCCATTTCTAAATTTAATTTCTCATCTATTTTATCAGGGAGAGATCCTGGGGCTCAAACAGCTAGATATCCTACTAGAACTAATATGAATGCGACACGTGGCAGGCGAAAGTCTATAAAGGATAAACCTAAGCTCAATGGAGTAGAGGTTGAGAATCTTACTAAATCAGTTCCACAGCCCACAGTTCTGTAGATTCAAGTATCCATAGAAAAAGAAACTACTCCATTCTCTATTGACATTGGTGTGTCTAGTTGTGTAATGCAAAAGCGTTGAAGGGTTGCAACCACAATGCACATGTAGCATGTTCCTACATGAAGACGCTGATGTGGTTTGATTGTTGAGATTGGCTTGGGTTATCATGTTTGTAAGATTTGCCTGGCATAGGATACACACGTCTGTTGAAATTATACATATTTATTGTTGTGAGTTATGTGATAATGCGGTGTATTTATACTCAGATGTACAACTTTTAAGAGTGCCATTCCCTTCCGTTTTGTTGCTACTGCCAAGTTGCAAGGTTTTCTTTTTCTTATTGTGTGGTTCCTAGATATTGTGTTCTTCTATGAACGTGGAACACGAGATGAAGAAAACGTAGTATTCTAATTAATTAATTGATAGCTCAACAATATTGAAAAGAAATTTACAAAATAAACTGTTTTTCATGGGCCTTCCAGAGTGAGACTTACTCCAAGAACAAAAAATATTTATCTTTTAAAATACATATTTAATCTGGAAAACACAATAAATAGTAGTTATTCTAGTAATATATATCAAATTAAAAAAAAGGTGATGTTTAACTGCATTTAAATAAAATTACATCTTAGTTTTGAAAGAAAAAAAAAAAAAAAGACACGTTGAAATACAGGAATCTATCAGAACATTCCGCCAGAATAATATATGATAATTGCTCTCTGGAAGATATGCACATCGCAGAGCTAAGAAAATACATTTTGAAGCTAGTTTTAAGACATTTTCGAAAAAAATTACAAAAAAATGAATTTTTAACAATTTAGCCATTTCATTATTATTATTATTATTTAAAAAGTATTTAATAAATAATTACTTATTGACTCAATTAACTATTTATGTAATTAATTCAAGTTTTTAATTAAACTTTTCCCATGCATTGAATTGTACTTTTAAAGAACTATTTAATTATTTAACAATGTTGAGAAAGAAGTTAATAATAATTACTTCTTGACTTAATTAATAATTTAAGTAATTAATTATTCATATTTAAAAAAAAATTATGATCTTAAAATAATTACTTGGAAATAGTGTGAAGGTATTCATAATCTCTAGAAAAATAATGTACCAACAGTTTTTCTTTTCTCCACATACAAAACACACTATTTAGTTAAAAATATAGATGATGGAGTTTGTGAAGTTGATAGACTTTCAATCCCTAACACACGAATGTTGTTAAGATCTAGATTTTATCTAAGATTAGAGGAAATAAAAAGATCGTAAATCATAAGATTTACACATATTGTGACATTGTACCGTGCATATAAAACATTAAAATTACATAAATTTTTGAAATGAGTTTTTTTCCTAAGAATATGAGGTAACTTTTTATAATTTATATTTTAAAAGGAGATGACCTTATTATATTTTATATTTTAAGTATGAGAAATACTTAATTAACAAAATGTATTGACACATACAAAATTTGTATTATTTTATATTTTAATAATAATTCATTATCTAATAAGCAAATCTTACTTAAAATTTTATTTATATTACTTAAAATAATTAATCTAAATCATCTTTTAATTAAAAACTTCAAATTATAAAGAATAATTTAATAATCAATTTTTATCAATTATATAAAAACTCATTATGCTCATTCAAATAAAAATAATAATGAAAAAGTCAATGGAATAAGTAAAAATTAAAAATAAAACAAGATAAGATTTGAATAAAAGTCTCGGTGGGTGTACAGGTACTTTTATGAAAAATTCGAATATTTGTTCCAAAAAAGAAAAAGAAAAATTCGAATAGACTCTTTCTCTCTCTTTAAGGAGTCTTTCTTGGCTTTATGAGCATAATAATTTCATTTTTAAAAAATTAACTGGATTAATTTTCTAGTCAAACTTTAATGCATTACGACGTGGTATTAATGTCACTGAATTCAGACATGGTAGTTTGGGTACTATGTTTGGTGTTAGGTGTCATGTTGCGTCTGAACGTGATAATTTGGGTACCACCTCTGAACGTGGTAGTTTGAGTACCACAATTGTGTAGGAACTATTGGATTTATGCGGAAGCGATTTAGGACCTAGTACATTGGTATGCTTACCAAATCATCCTCGTTTCACAATTACCTCTCGGTGTGCAGATCTCATGTAGAATCTTTCTTTGTATGATTCCTCTTCACGAACTGCTTACCTCAACGCCGCAGCACGAACAACCTCATTAAAGTTGGACTGTGACAGATCTTTCAGACTATGTCTCAAAGAGAAATGAAAAGTGTGTGAGCACTCTCTCACTTTCAAGAAGATGACCTTACCTCAGCCTCTGCAACCACCAAAATGAATAATAGAGAGGTTGATGACTATAAGTGTAGAATATATATGGGTTCCAAGAAACCCTGACCCTTAGCAGAATGTGTTTTAGGTTTCATGGGCTCTTCTTACACACTAGACCCTATTGGGCTATAGTGAAAGAGCAAAACCCAACAGTTTGGTGCTAGGAATATACCTTTTCCATCAAACGAGATCAACTCATAATTTCTTTCTTCTTTGACATGATTTTTGCTCAACTAACAAAGTCTTTCTTCTTCGACGTAATTTTTGCTCACTGCTCACTTACCTAATAAATTCTCTTCTTCCAATAAATTTGTTTTAATTTCAACTTTCTTCTTCAAATACGTAATTTTTGCTCACTTACATGTTGAATTCTCTTAATCCAATAATTTGTTTTAAATTCAACTATCTTCTTCTTCAATAGCCACCGTCTTTTTTTTTGGTTGATTTTATTTTTTTTATATCAGTAAGGAAGGTGTTACTTGAATTTTTTAGTTGGAGTTTAAATTAAATTTCAAGTGAATGTATCAAACTCAAACAATGCCATATTTTCAATTCACTTTTACGAATAAGAGTCACGGTTAAATCCATAAATATATAGCATTTGCTTGAAATTTAATTGAAATCGCAACTAGCATTTGCTTGAAATTTAATTGAAATCGCAACTAACAAATTCAAGTAACACCCTCCTTACTGATATAAAAAAAATGAAATCAACCAAAAAAAAGATGGTATCTATTTGTAACAGCCATTTGTACACTGGTATTGTTAACATTGATTATGATATTAAGCGCAGTTACAATCACAACAATTCATTTAAAAATGCGGGTAAACTTTTTTCTTTTCATTACGTAAGCGTTTAAAAATAATAATAAAACATAATGACATGAACTGGGATCATAACTGAAACCTAAACGCGGAATAAATAAAATAAATGCCTAACTATCATACATTGCTTATTCTAAGTCACTAAGGGGTTCCCATAAATCCACTTAGAATAAATCTCACTTTTACGGTTTTTCTATAACTGAACATGGTTCAGTCTTTTGGATACTGCGTAAAATTCAGATGCTAGTAACCTCTCATCTTTTAGTATGTTATTCTAGACTCAATTAAATTTCCAACAAAGTATCACACGCCTCATAAAGTTTTTATTTGCTCTGGTTATCACCGTTTGAAGTTGGACAAGCAAAGCTGTCAGCGAACCCAAAATTGGGCACCAAACATACCTTGCCATTTCTGCGATTCTGCATAAAACAATCAACCAATTTCCCTCAAATTTTTATGCAATAAACTAGACACCTTAACCTTTAATTTTACATATCATGAGTTTAATTTGAGTAAGAATTGAAGGAGAAACAATTTTTCCAAAACTGTAACCCGACAGCGCCCATGTGGAGGGCCATTTGGGCAGTCTCCACTCAATTGCGTCTACATGTCGCTACACAACTTCAAATGCTACCAAATTTTCACATAAAATAACTGATATCGCAAGCTTCAAAATGATGTATGACACGTTCCTATTGGACCTCTATGGAGGGATATATGCTCTTCCAAAATAAGCCTAAAAACTGTCATTTTAGTATAAATTTTGGCGGCACGTCCTTTGTTTATTCAACCTATCACTTATTAAACTTTATCAAAAGTGTGTTTTTATGCCTCAAGGGTACCTAATAAACAAGGGTGGCGCTCAAGGACCAACAATGCCTTGGTGCTCTTACAACCCATAACAATTTGCATTATTCTCATCCATTTACAATCCATTCCTTACTTTGTCAAAACTTAAAATCATTTCAATCACATTATCCCATTGCATGCATTCTTAACAATTTGCATATAAATCATAACCTAGAATAGACCTATTACCCTTCCATCACATACATGCTTTAAAATATTACACAAGGTCCATACTTATCAATTTACAATTCTCCAAATGGTAAATATAAATACAAGAAAATCCTCAAAATACAACAAGATAAATAATCAACTAGACTTAGCCAAAATGTAGCATGAACAAATATAACATGATACACATCGTCAATGCAATATACAATGTTCATGCTCTAAGTCTAGCCTATGTCAAGTATGGCCTCAAAATGCAAAAAGTCCTCTAACTCCATAAGCTCATCCTGTGGGCCTCTTGCCCATGGCTCCTGTTGATGCGTAATATCGGCAAGTGTACCGATCGTACCAAGTAATATAGAGTGAGTAGAGTATCGTCTCTATGAGGATTGAGGCACCTAAGTTGTTATAACTATTCCTCTCTTGTTGAATTAATCACAATAGGTTGAGAATGATTGTAGTTCATGAAACAAACTAAAACAATTAAAGTAAAAATGTAAATATTCCAAAAGTGTTTTTAGAATGCAAGAACAAAAGATTAAGGATTGGGAAAATATTTGAGAAAATATTGCGGTAAGAGAAACAAACACCTTTCTGATCCCCACCTTGCAACTTGGATTACGTTTACATTTACCTATTCAATTGATCGAACAATTCATCATCTTTTATATGATTAGTTAAGCCTTAATCCCTTAGTGATCTTAACCTTGTCAACTCTATTAGAATCCTAATCCCTTAGAAATCCCTTTTCGAGTTAACCCTTATAATCAATAAACCTTTAACGTTCGCTGTTCATGTAGCCTATCCCTAATGCGTACATGAACAGTTATCTTATTCTTTGTCAGGAATTAGAATTCCAACATCCCTATCGAAAACCCTAACCCTCGAAATCCTACTAGATTGATCAGTTCCAATAGAATTATAAAATGAAGAACAAGAAAAGATAAACTCAATTAAAATAGATAAACATAAATTTCAACCAAGGTACAAGGGGTTCACATCAAGGGTTGTGACCCTTACCACAATGATAAAACTAGCCAGGCATATTCATGTCTGACAAAATAACAATAAAATAAAGTAGCATTTAAAACCTAGAAGAGAAAGGGAAGATGAAGATCTTCCGT